CTTACCTGTAACCATAGTTCTTTGAGTGGTCCTCTGTGAATTCACACAACCTGTCCATCCTTCCCCTCTATCCGTCACAGTTGGTTATATAATTAATTAATTATTTCCTTCATACCCGGCGGATAAAGTTCAGGAACTGGGGAAGATGGTGGGTGGGAGGAGCATATACCTCGTGGAGGATCACACCATAAAATTGTTACTTTTAGCTCTAGAATCTTCCGAGAGAGTCAGCGCAGGCACAGACAATGCCCATATGTGTGAATTCATAGAGGACCACTCAGAGAACTATGGTTACAGGTAAGTAACCTCTTTTTAGTCTGTCTTAGCTCGTTGACAGAAATCAAGGGAAGTAAGAAAGGGAGAAGTAAGCAAGATATAGTAGCATAGATTTGTTTTAGTGGGAGATTTTGTGGATCAAAATTCACTTCTTTAGAAATCTAAAGAAGTAGATTTTAATCTATAAAAGTTCAGAATGAAGTGAATCTGTCAGTCTCTAAACTGCTACAAACGTGTTGCGCCAGGGAATTTTTTTTCATGTACAACAATCTTTGTTGTTGTTTAGTCATTAAGTCATGTTTGACTTTTTGTGACCCCATGGACCACAGCACGCCAGGCCCTCCTGTCTGTACTTGCCCCTTTTTTCTTCTTCTTTAGAACATCAGAAAAATGGCAGGTCAACACTTCCAAGCCTGGTCTTGGAAATACGTAGAAAAAACATGCAGATCTCAGCTACTCCACAATGTAATATCATCTCCAAGGCAGTGGGAGGGGCATAACCTAAACAAACATGGAAATAAAGGCTTTCCAGTAAGTCTACTTTGGTCCAGCTTTTGATATTAAGATACTGCTTTGAGCAGAACATAAACAGCTCATATGGCTTTGGACTGCAAACCATCATGTGCCGTTGACTTAGCTGTTTTGAGAATGTCATGGGATCGATTCTGATGTTTCTATATGTGAATTCTTTGGCACTACAAAATCAATTAGTAGAAATTACCAACTCCTAAAATGATGGCTGGTTTTCAGAAGTATTCCAAGTAACTTGGAAAATACTTCTTCCATACATCTTCCCCTGTAGCCCAACTATAATATTACTTTATTTTATTATTACGGTCAAAGGCCAGCAAGACTGGAAGAATATAAAATAAATACAACTTCATAAAACTAAGCAGAATTATACATTCTTCGATTAAAATCATGATAAATCAACCCCTTCTTTCAAATTCATAACATCATAATCAGCTAAGCTGACTCTATATCCAACTATAATATCTATCACAACCCTCTTCTGCAGGGGGAGGGCTGTGGTTAGTTTAGTTTTTTTTTCCTTGTATGCAGAAATTACCTATGGATCACATTTCCTTGATGGCTATTTACAGTGCCTTGAATGGCATATATCTATCTCTGTTGTCTTTCAGTTAAATTCTCCTTTTATCCACTCATCTTCCCTATCAGAGTGTTGTTCATTGTTTCCATGGGAGAATATGATCAATAAGAGAGAAAAGGGTTGCATTAAATTACAGCTTCCCTTTCATGTCCTCTCAGGTATTGTTTCAAAAACTATGAGATACTTGTCTTCAGTTTGACACCGATGTCTGGAAGAGATCTGTATTTTGCTTTAAAATCTTTCCAGACTGCAGTCAGAGGCATTGGGTTACTGTTTTTAGTTCTTTCTCCTCCTCACTGACGGATTTACCTCCCTGTATGCCTTCAAATGCCTATGAGAAAACCAAGATGCTAGAAGCCAAGCTATGAGTCATGGAAAACCTAAATCATTTTTACTCTCTAAGAACCCAATTACCCCACTCAAGGCTGCATCTGCAGCTGAAATATTAAATAAACTTATAAGCAAGAGTTTTTAAAGACAGAACAAAAATACTGCCTTGGTGTTTGCTTCTACTTATCTCTTTCCTTCTCTTCCTTCATGAGAGGAGAGAAAAGTGTCACATTTACATACATCTGGATTTTTAAAATACCATAAAACAGTAAATGCTTTCAGTGAGATGCCAGTATGTGCCAATGCACTTACAGTTTGAGGGAGGAGAATCATTAATTAGGCATGTAATTAATGGCTTACATTCATTTCCATTCTTTTGATGAACCTTAGCATTCTTAATGATCATCCCTGTATACAAAAACATGGTTAAGAAAGAACAGATTATTATCTATCAAAATGTTTTTGCATTATCTACTAGCCATGAAATCAAGAAGAGAGATAGGAAAAAGATGTTATCAGCCAACACTTCCAGCTTTACAAAACCCTCTCTTTAATATATATCTTATGCCATGCATGCCTCCCACAGCCATACTAGATTGAATGTTTTAATAACTAAATCTAAGGTCAGAATAAAATCATGGAGGCTACTGATTTGCTTAAAACGAGTTTCAAAGATTAAAAGAGAATGTAACAGTGATGTTCATGAAATGAGGACAATACAGTTCCAGCCTATCCGTGTAGAATATTTATTTGTAACATTTATGTCCTGCCTTTCCAGTGAGCTAAAGGGGAACATACATGACTCTCCTCCTCCCTCTTTATGTGCACAATAATTGTGTGAGGTAGATCAAGTTAAAAGATAATTATTGGACCTATAAACCTTGTGTGAAGGTTTATAGTGTCTGCCCTTGGAAAGGCAGAGTTTTCAAGGGGGATGAGTGTACTTTCAATCTCAGTGGGTTAGCAATATACTGCTCTTTGGATGACATAGATTCATATCTTGCCTGTCTTACTTTATAAGGTAAGGATGATGGTGGAACTTGTCATGCCAAGAGGAGCAAAGTTGGCTCAGTGTTGGCCTTCTAGTCTAGCAGTGTCTGTCGTAACGTAATATTTTCTTGTCACCATACAGAACTTGTTAGGCTAGTTTCGACTCCTGTAAGCTTTTGTGACTTTTCTGTTTGCAGGATATTGAAGCTACTATGAACTCTGCTCTGAATGAGCTGCGGGAGCTGGAAAGGCAAAGCAATGTAAAACACACACCAGACGTTGTCCTTGACACCTTGGAGCCATTGAAAACCTCCCCAGTTGTGGCACCCACCTCAGAGCCATCCAGTCCATTGCATACTCAAATCCTCAAGGACTCTGAACCAGCTTTCCAGCGGAGTGCAAGCACAGCAAGTGACATTCCCTGCACCTTCAGACCAGCAAAGTCTGTCAAAATGGCTGCCCACGTCAAACCTCCAGCAACCAGGCCAAAGCCTGTGATTTTCCCCAAAACAAATACCACAAGTCCTGCAGTTGCCTCAGCATCTCAGCAGTCTACTGACAAGTCCTGTACTGTTTGAACTTGAAATTCTACTGTGAATATAGCATTTTTGTTTTGGGCAAGGGGAACCTCTTTAGGGGACATTCAAATGTCTGTTTAATTAGTATTGGACTTTTGCTGAAGATTAGTTTGTAAGTTACTGTTGCCAAGGATTTGCCCAGCAGGAAAGCTCCAGTTAATTAAGCCTCATTTTGTACCTCCATCAGTGATACTAGGGCACCACAAGTCTCTGTAGGCTGAGACATGGCAAGTTTTATATAGGGTCACTGTGAAATCAGTGTGGAAAAGACAGAACTGTTTAGTCTGTTGCTGGTAACTAGTCAATGCCTTGTTCAAGTGTCTTGTCACTAAGAAAAACTGTTAGTGTTCTTGTATTTTGGAGGCTGATAGAAATGACGTCTATGCTTCAACCACTACAAGGAAACAATACATATAGTTGAATCATGGATGTTTTTGATCCCACTGATTTAGGTGGTTGTGCCTCTAACTTATTTTTGTGCATTATTTCAGTACCCAGTGGTGCCACAAGGTCTGTTTAGTTCTCAATACAGCTTATCCTCTTTGAGGGATATATGTTTTCAAACCTAAGCAGCTTTCTGTCCTAGGTTCAGAATCCATAATGCCATACGAACATAGTCTTAGTTTAATATAGGCATACTATAAATACTTATGAACATATTCATTTAAAGTGGAGTATGACTACTTAACACATAAAGCAGAAAAACAAAATGTGCTTATATATTGCCTCATAGCACTTAAAGCACTCACTGGGCCATTTATAATTTAATTATGCAAGCTACATATTGCCCCCCAAGCAAGTTGGGTACTGAATTTCCTGACCTTGGAAGAATGGAAGACTAGGTCAGCCTTGAGCCGGCTACCTGAATCTGTTGGAATCGAATGCAGGTCATGGGCAGAGTTTTGACTGCAATACTGCAGTTTAACCACTGCATCACTCCTTATTTATACCTTTGCTTGGTGCTTCCATAATGAAAAATAGCCTTAGTGCTTTGACATGAGATTTTTAAATTATTTGGCTAGAAAGATTCCTGTGCCCTTTCATAGCAACTTGGGAGACAAAATTAAAAATTCTGTTAAATTTTGAAAACCGGCTACTGTTCATTCACTCTCTTTCAAGTGGCATGTTTTCCATAAATGTTCATCTAGTAGGCTGTGCATTGACCTCCCTATGTTTTTGACTAGAACTGCCATTGTTCCCAGTCATTACTCATGCACTCGCGTGGCACTGGAAGGTTGTAGCCTAAAACAGCTGGATTGCTCGCCCCAAAAAATGAGATGAGTTCAAAGCCAGTCCCACTAGTTCAGACCTATTTGAAAATCTAGGTCTTAGTTAGAGAATTGGCCCTGTCTTCTTTCTCTGCCACCCACCTGCCTTCTCCCCTTGTGGCTCATTCTGCTGTGCGCTAGTGGTAAGGTGGCATATGGCAATTAAAATAAAAGCTGTGTGGGACATGGACACAGTCCAGTATGCAGCTTATTTCTGTGATAGATTACCATGCCATCAAGTACTCTACTGATAGTCAAATGAATTATCTTAGTGCCTAATATTTTTAATGATGAATTATAGGATTGTTCCAAGTTCCAACGGACAGTATAGAATGGAAATGTATTTTTCAAGATGATAACCATCTTAAAAAGAAGAAAATGCACACTTCAAAAGCAGCAGGGAGTTACCACCACCAACTAAAAGGACTTTGAGTTAGATGCGTTCTAATTTTATCATCCTTTGATTGTTGACTTCAGGCAAGATTAAGAACCGAAGTATGCTTTTCTTTCATCTGTAGGTCTGAGCTACAGTATGTTTTTCTTGTGGTTTTATGAATGGAACAGTTAGTTACTGATATTTTAATAGAAGCAAAACATGTAATCTTCTGCAAACAAGCTTGACAGTAGTCATTTCAGAGTTATCCAATACTGTTACTTGGAAGGGTATTTTCTTTTAATCTTCCTACAACTTTTTAAAACAATTGTTGGTGCAAGGTTTTTAAAATTATGTCCATGACTTAAAAATCTCATAAACACGGATAGAAAAAAAATGCAAAAATTGTTTGGAGACCATTTTGCTTCATAACATTTACATAAGCTTTTGCCTTCTTAAGATATATTTGCCCCCACTGGTGTTTTTCTGTGAATGTGAGGAAGAAGCTGGAGGCGGTGGGGGAGGGGAGGAGAGACCTCATGGACCTTTCCTGCCTTAGATGAAAGGTCTGAGCATTGTAGCTGCTCATTAACTCTCATGATGGAGCAGACTTCCAGTCCAGAAATCCTAATTTTTCCCCTCTCCATTATCCCCCTTTTTAAAAAAAAATTTTTTTAAAAAAACATTAGAAATGCACTCAGAGAAGTCTACTGGATTAAAAAAATAACACTTTTATAACATCTTTTAAGATTGCTCACTCCTAAGCCAGAACAGTCCTTTGGCACTTGTAGCAGTCACTTTGGCAGGTCAGGTAGGAGTACCATATCCCTCTGTTGTAGCCAAATTCAAATGCCCGTTAAATGTATTCTTCTAGTTAAGGTATTTGAAGTGCCCTTAAAGTATTATTTGAACTGGTATTATGTCACTGGACAAGGTGAAGAGCAGTGATGGAGGAAGAATCTCTTTCCAGAAAAGATGATAAAAACATATGCTAGTAATGCCTTATTTTATCTTGTGTCATTAAGAAACAACCTAGCTATCCAAGGCACCTTGAAAGGAATAGCTTCTTTCATGTCTGCTGTGTGTTTTGTTAAGTGAGTGAAAACTGGCATTTTTAAAATGGCTTGATATACTGTATTTACTCTCTATAGGCTTTTTTAGTTTAGATTGTTTTGTAGACTTCAAGACTGAGGAGAACCTACTGAAAAAGGACGGAGAAACATCATGGTATATGTCCAAGCTTAGAAAAGTTGTTGTAGCTGTAGATGTTGATGGCAGGTTTCTGGGAATCATATTCTAGAACAGGTAACTTTTCTATGTTGTGCACATCATGTGCTATCAAACTAGATAGAAATGTGTACCATGAAAATGTACATATCAAAAACATTTTTCCATAGGCAGGTTCTATGGAACGTATTTTGGAAAACAGGTTACTTACATTGCCTTGTTTAGAATCTCTAGGATAGTTGCTTTGAGATGCATTTCTGTTGCAAGAAGTTCGTGTCCATACACTACTGGAAAGGGTTATTTTCCACATATCTCTCCTAGATAAAATACTGAAAAGAGGGAAAGGTAAGATGTTGCACATATCTACAAAACTATACTAGTTTTGTATTAACTGGCATACTCTACTCGTTCTGCTTTGCTGCAATACTGAAATCCCAACAGGTCACTCTACCTGTACCTGCATCTTATACAACATGGAACTACAGATATCCAGGAAGAGGATTTGCTTTTTAAAAATGTATTGACAAGACAATCTTACTCCTGTACCATTGTAGCTTTTACCCTTTGGAGCTCCCTGTAATTCAGCTGCAACATCACATTTTCTTCCAATTGGCAGTTGAACAACATGCTTGATTTACTGTTAAAACATGCCAGTTTTCTTACACTATCTGGTAATCTTAGGAACTACTAGGCTTAGTTTACACACCAATACACTGAAATATGACTCAGACAAAAAACCATGTTTTCTTCATATCTCTGTTGACCAAGTGCTAAAGCACTGGGCAATGTTTAAATAAAAACACTGTGATTTGAAAAAGGATTGATACTCTAAATCAGTGGTTCCCAGCCTTAGATAACCTAGGTGTTCTTGAACTGCAGTTTTCAGAAGTCTGTGCTGGCTGGGTTTCTCAGAGTTGCAGAACACCTGTGTTACTCAAGGTTACTCCAAGAACATCAAGGTTGGGAGCTACTGATATAAATACTTAGAAGGCTTTTTATGAGGCAAAGAAATACCTCATTCTTTTATAGTGATCTGGTTGAATAATATTCTGATCAGCATTCTTCAATCTCACAGGAAGTTCAGAGGAATGCAACAGGAAGTAGGGGTTCCTGCTTGGGCTCTTGCTTCAACAATGGCTTTGGGGCTCAAACCTCTGAGTCCCAAAACTTTGAGAGGGAAAACTTTGCCAAAACTGGGACTCCTGGGTCACCAAAGGCCTGATTCATCCTGTGGCCACCACTTGTGCCCATATAGTTTTTAGTCCTTCAAAGATTTCTGTCTGTTTTACAATATTTAACGGTGTCTATTGTAACTCATTCAGAACTTCAAAATAATCATCGCCCCCAATTTGTTAAAGCATTCAACCAAGAATTTAAAAATTATTATTTAACGATTAAACACTAGCATTTTATTTTATTTGTAGCAGTAATTGTAATAACAGTTAATGTTATTTTATTTTGTTGGTTTTTAATTGGTTGCTTATTTTCAGTAATTTTGAATTATGTTGAACTAATTTGATGTTTTAACATGACAGATTAATTTTGTAAAAGCTCTTTTACCATTTTAATGTTAAGGAATAAATTTGCCTTACCAATTTAACTGTACAATGCTCACACTGATGGCAACATTTCAAAGTTGTGGTTTCACTGACCAATTTTCTCTGATACAGAGCACAGTTGTTCAAGACCACGCTAAAACCCAACATTTTCCTGACATTTGCAATAGGACTTTCTCCTTTCCCATGCAGCCATTTGCACTATTCCAAAATAATTTCCTAAGGGTTTTTAAAAATCCTTACAGAGCCAATTTTGGGGGCACACAGCAGGGGGCTGCGATGGGAAGTGAGGATCACCCCTTTGAAACTGCTATGTTCTGCTGTTTTGCCAGCAGAGTTTCATCACTGAATCCTATCTCCTGGACACATAAACCTTAACTACCTTCCTAGCCGCGGTAGGCAGCTATTATCACTTGTAGGCAGCAGGGTGGTCTAAATTACAAATATAGAGAACCATGACCCTGTCTGAAATACCACCATTTTCCTCTCTACTTTCCACTGAGAAGAAAACTCTTGAAGAACTGGCCTTAGTTTTCCTGGTGGAGCATGTTCAGGAATGTCTGTATTTTTCCTTCATCTCTGTCACTTTCTGAGCTGTTTTGAGAGGAAGAGGGAAGGATGTGGTAGCTAGTTTAGAACAATATCCTTCAGTGGGTTGGACTTTGCTCCCAAGCTGCCAATTCCCACCTCCTTATTCTGATCTATTGATAAAAAGGAAAAGGAAGAAACTTGATTGGCATTAATGTGCCTAGACTCTTTAAAGTCTTACTTAAATAGACTTCTCTTTATGAGAGCCCAAAGGACTAACAAACGTAAGGGCTAAATATTTACTTTAATGGAAACAATTCTGGGGCTTAATATAGTTCACATTAAACATGGCAGATCTCAGTAACCATAACTACAAATCTACAAAGAAAGATAAACAGGTCTTGAAGCTGAGAACCTAATTGTCCGTCACTTATAAGTCCATTCATTTTTCCAGCGTTAGACATTTGTCCACA